TTTTTAAACTCTGCCTTAAATTTTTGCACTCCACTTCATTACTCTCTTTTAATTTTTTAAACTCTACTTTATTATATTTTTTTAAACTCTGCCTTAATTTTTAAATTTCGCTCTATTATTTTTTTTTAAACTCAATTTAAATTTTTTTTGTAAAATATTATTAATGTTTCTTTTTTTTTTCTTTATAGAAATTATCTTTTGAAATTCTAAAACTTTTACAAGGGAACTATTAAAGGATTATTATTATTTATATTTTTTTAATTGAAATTCTATTTTAAAATAATCTAAATAAATTATTATACCTTTAACAGATATAAAAATATGTTTATGCAGAAGACAAAAAGATATGTATTATTGTTTAATTTTAATTTATTTTTGGTAACCAGTTTTAATAATAATCAATCAAAGATTAATTAATCATATTATTATATGCATATATTTACAAATTTATAATGTTAATTAGCATAACAATAATTGATATAAAAGTAAACTTTTTTTAAAAAAGCAAAAATAAACACTTCTTACTTTTTAATCCTTTTTTTTATACAAACCAATTTGTTTATCTTCTATTTTTCTTTTATTCAAACTTTTAAAATACCTTCTTTCAAAGATTTATCAGAAAAAATTTGTAAAATTTTAAATGGATTTATTTATGAACGTCATATAGTTTTGTTTAGAAAACCAAATAGATTTAAAGCATGGTTGATTAATAACAAAGTTACTAATTTAGTAATTAATTACAATCCTTTAATCCTTTAAGTAAAATTGAATAAAGGCTCATTATAAAATCTCTAATTTGTGAAAAATCAATGCTAGAATGTGAAGAATAAGTATGTTCAATTTTCTAAGTTATAGGAATAAACTTTTGAATATATAGATCAGTTACCATTAAAATTAAATTATAAATCACATGATTTGTAATATAATTTTATATCTATATCGCTTTGGAATTGTATATTTTCTCCTACATATGCTTTTAGTATATGCTAACTTAAGTTTTATTAGGATTAATATATTTTTATATTTTAAAAAATTATTTATTTATTTATTTATTTTATTTATTATTAATTTTAATAGAATCTTGTATCTACATTTAATAGATATGTAACTATTAATAAAGATAAAGATTTTTATAAAGATTTATTTTTAAGTTGACAAAATTGAATCAAAATTTTTCCTAAAGATTTTCGTGAAATTATTAAAATTCTTTATAATTTTAATGTAAATCATAAGCCAAATTTAGCTGAAAAATATCTTCACAAATTTGTAACTTGTGTAAATATAGAGAATAAAAAGGATTTAGTAATTATTAATGAAAAGTAATCAGTTATTTTAAAATGTAATGATAAATTGTTGATGATGTAATTTGTAATATCGTTAAAAAAATGTAACAGATTATTTTAGATATAAAATAAAACTTATAGTAGATGCTTATTTTAAAATAAAATGTAGACAAAAGACTCATGCAGATTCAGAAAAATTAATTGATCATAGTCTTTATACAAATTTTTTAAATCTATTTATTACTGATTCATATATATATAAAGAAAAAAATCTTAATCCTGAGGTGCAAAGAATATATAATTAGGATTGAGATAGTTTTAAAAAATAGTTATATAAAAATGCTAAAAATCATATACCATGATCTATACTATTATATGAAGCTTTTAAACAAAAAGTAAATAAAAATGATAATCAGATGGTAGGTGTAGTATTTTACGCTGAAAATTATGAAGTTACAGAGTATTAAGATAAAGATCGATCTGAATTTGCAATAGACTTTATTTATATAATTGATATAGTTAAAGAAGGATATTTTATTTATCTTGAATATGATATTGCTATCAAAATGACATCAAATTTAATATAGTATTAGTTAACACAAGTTGTACATAATATAGCTAAACTTAATTTAAGTGAAGGTGATATTAGATATACTAATATAATTATTTTAACTGAAAAAACTGCAAAAGCAGTAGAAAAAGAAGCGGATATTTAGATAGTTAAATTTTTTATATTACTTTTTATTATTATATATAAATAAAAAATAAATAAAATAGAATTTATACTTTATTTTAATATATTTTTTAAATAAAATACCATTTAAAATAAACAAAAAAACTTCTAAAAAATATTAAATCTATTAAATTAAATGATTAATAATATTATAATTTTTATAGTTTTAAAAATATTAATTTATTAACAATACATTGTTAAGATTGTATTTTCTGCAACAGATTTAAAAATTTAATTAATTAGTTCACTAAAATGTTCTGATAATAGAAAGTAATCTAACATTCTAACTTCACTTATTTTCAATACACATCTGAACATTTTCTGTATTAGAAAAATATATATATAATTTAATACATATTCTGAATATATTTTATATTAAAAAAAAAAAATAAACCAAACAACAAACTTGATCATTTTTTAGGACAAATAATAATTATTTTCTGAATATTCTCTGATATACTTGAATAAATTTAGGACATTTTTGATGATATTTTTTAGACATTTCTTTTTTATAAGGTTAACTTAAATTAATAAACTAGATTATTAATATAGTATTCTATATATTTTATTAATATATTTTTTAAATAATAAAATAATAGATAAAAATAAATTTTATACTTTAAAAAGCTTAATAATCTATTATATTAGTCAAAATAGTCCAAATTAATTAGAAATTAAATGGCTGATTTTAAGCTAATTTGATACTGTTTATAGCTGATTTATTATATTTTTAATCAGCATAAATACTTATTAATTAATAATAATTGACTTCAATCAAATATAACTATTTATTATCAATTTAAAACTTAAATTTAACCATAAATCAGCCTAAAATTTAGCCTCAATTTAGCATTTATTCAACATTAATTCAGAATTTAAATAACCTAAAATTAGCATCAATTTAACATCAATTCAGAACTTAAATAACTATAAATCAGCCTAAAATTAGCATAAATTCAGCATTAATTTAGAACTTAAACAATTATAAATTAGCCTAAATTAGCTTTAATTTAGTATTAATTTAGTTAAATAAGCATATAAATCAATATATTTATTTATTAATTTATTAAATATTAAAATTTATTAATAATAAAATCCTAATATAATTTGCAAGAAATATAAAAAAAATATTACTGAAACTTATTAATTAATTTTCTATTTAAAATATATAAATAAAATAATAATATAATAATAAAAATATAATTTATTTTTCTCTTAAAAATCCTTTTAAATTATTTTAAATATTTATGATCATAATATTACTATTTTCAAAAAAAGAATAAATTAATAAAATATGATTAATTTCCTTCTAAATCTTTTGAAATCATTTAAAAATATAAAAAAATAATAAATAAAATAATAAAAATAAAAAATTTACTTATACAATAATTAGTATGAAAAAAAATGAGAAAATATTTACACTAACATCTACTTGTCTCATTTTTAATAGTTTATTTCTATCTTCAATTTTAATATAAATATAATAATATAAGAAATATACTTTTATCAGTAATATTTATTATCATATCTTTAGGTATATTTATTTTTCACAACATTAGATTTTGTGATTATGTGTAAAATATGATAATATACTTTTAATTTTAAAATAATATATTTATTAAAGCATATTAAGCATATTAAAAAGTACTAAATATATTTTTATATAAGTTTTTATTTATATTTAAATTTGTGTATACATTATAATAGAGTAGATAGTTTTGCATTAGCAAAGAATATATTATAATAGAAAGAAAAATTAGAATAGCAAAAAGTATTACGATTATTATTGTTTAAGATTAAAGTATTCAAAGTTTAATAATTAGCCTAAAAAAATATTAAAGAGTAAAACAAATTTATATTACTTTTCATATACTACTGAGCCTATATATATACAAATAATAAATTTTAAAAAAATTTTATAATATGTTAGAAGGTAAAAAGATTATTAGATTAAATTGATTAATAAAAAATCTTTATATGATAAAGTTTTATTAAAAATGAAGTAAATGATTTAAGAAGAAGAGGCAGAATAATTACCTTAAGAATGATAAATATTTAATAAATGTATTACATTAGATATATGATATCTAGCCTTTTTTCAACCATTTTTTATATATAAATATCTTATTCAGAAAATGGAATGGTACCTGTTCAATTTTTTGATCAAGTTCAAAATATCATTATTAATCTTTTTTTTAATATTTTATTAATACAAATTAACAATTTTAAACAAAATACTTTTCAAATAATACAAGTAGTATCAAATTTTGAAATTGTAGAAGAGGATCACAAGTTTATAAGGATATATATTAGCTTAATAATATTACAGAAAAAGTTCAAAGGTAATAATTTAAATTTAAAAATAATCTTGTTAAATAGATCATTTATTTTGTTAACTATATGCTTAATTTAATTGAAATAGACCAACAGTATAAAAAAATTACAAAGTGAATTAAAGGTGTTGATTAATTAAAAAATAATATTAGAAATTACACTTTGCAAATTAAGATGAACAATACCTCAAACATTTAAAGACCATTTGAATAATACCTATTTTTCAATTGAAGCTTTATTATTTTAAAATAAATATATATTAGTAACTATTTGCTTTATTTGTTTTCTATTATACTGTTTAATCAAATAATTAATTATTTTAGAAAATGAAGGTGAAAATTTTACCGAAGCATTTTTTTAATTATTTTGTCTAAGACATAAAAAATTTATTTATTTACAGGTGGTGATTGAAGAGAAAACTATGAATAGGAATTGGACGTTTACTGCATAGTATACTGTGAAGGTTCAAATGCCATACTACTATTTATTACGATTTATAGTATTATATAAGAAAAACTTTTAAAATGAAAAGTTTTGAAATTTCCATACCTAATACTGGTAAATCACATGATCAGCGCGTGGCACGTGAAGATCATAATTTCTTATAAAAAAAACTCTCATAATTCATTTTGATGGAACCTTTTTTCAAAATGCCGATAAGCAAATTAGAAGAAAAGTTTGAGTTAGCAAAGAAAACCTTGATTGAATTTGATAGGGAGGATGTTATAAAGGAGAATACAACAGAAAGGGGCACGGCTGAAGAGAAATCAATAAAAAAGACTACAGAGTCAAGAGAAATTGTAGTTTTTAGTGACGTATCACTTGAAAGATACCACAAGTTTCTTGAAGAACGGAAAAGGTTTAACGTTTATGTTCGTTTAATTAAGGGAAAAGTTATCGCGTACGAAATGCCTAGTCCGCCTCATTCAATTTTAACGGGAGAATTTTGTTGTATTATAAAAAGTTGGAGCAATCGACTTTTTATTCTTAATGATATGGATATTACTGTTGGTAATAACAGTGAGTATTGCGTTGATATCGCAGTTATACCAAAGAGAGTTCCGCGACATGAACCTGGACACGTACCGCTGCCAAGAATGATCGTAGAAGTGGGAAAAATCGAGTCTCTCGAAAGTTTGGATTATATGGCGGGAGAATAATTTTCTGCTTCTACACAAACCAATTTAATTCAAGTTTATTTATCATTTAAGATATTCTCTCGTCGAGAAGATGGCACCGCTGCGATGGTTGTGATACTTTATATACGTAATAACCTGATCCCAAATCCAGCACTAAACAGGCCAAACCCACGACCAAACACGCCAGCAATGATAAGTGTACGAAACACAATACCAAATCTCGTAATTTCATTTGGAACAGCCCCATCCATCGTGAGCCAGCATCTTATTTTGTTAATACCGGAATACAAAATAATAGAATTACTGGCCTCTTACAGCCTAACGATATTGCTTGTACAGCTGCCGGAATGCCGGGTTATCAAATTTCTATAGCTTCAAATTTGCTCTTCCATGGTTCTCCTGGAGGTGTACCCCAGGGAACGCCAAATAATTTTACCATTGACCTGTGGAGATACAACAAATAATATTGGATTATCTGGTGAGTATTGCTTTCACGCTTTTAACTGTTACATTATTATCGATCATAAATATAAATTTTTTTACATTTTTTAGTGATAATTCATCTCATGATGGATATATGTGGAAATATATTTTATACTACGGCATTTAAAAAAAATTTGCAAAATGTAAACAAATTTATTAGTAATAGTAGTGCATTAAAGAATAATTGAGAGACAGCTTGCAATACATTATTATCTATCTGTTCCTTCGCCATTATTGTTCTATGGTCCCATTACTTAATTTAGTTCAGTTATTTGATCTTCTTTAGTAATCCTCGTGATATACATGAAGTTTCTTTACGCTTGCTCCCTTATAATAACCAAAAGTCATAGCGATTATATCACGAAATTTTAGGTAGATCAGCCTACAATAATTCCACACAGGAAATATGTTCGTTTGCTAATTATAAAATAAATCCTTGTTATTCCATACTCACGTGCGTAAGCGCATGTGATTATCATATAAGTAATCCGCAACGAAGTAAGTTTATCGACGTTTATTTACTGTATATTTTAAACGTTTCTTTTTTTTCCTGAAGATTTTTTGTGTAGGTTTATTAGGTTAAATGGCGTAAATTACAAAACAGAATTTGTGCAGGTAGATCATCCGAAATATATATTAAATCACGTGATAAATATATCTAATCCAATTAAACCTTCTCGCAAAATTTTTTATAATAGACGAGACATACCATACCAAAGAAAGAACTTATCATAATATCTGTTTAAAAAGTTAATGATGAATTTCTGATAATATTATGTTCCTCATTTCCCACAACCATTTTTTAGAATAATATTTAATTAGTAATGCTCGTTAAAAATACAAATATCTGAATCGTTTTCGTCCTGAAACTACAACAGTTACTACAACAACGACAACAAAAAGGCTGTAACGTTCAGGGATGAAAGGTAATATATTCTATTATATGGTTTAAATTTTGAAATTTCGGATTGATTCGTTCAACATCAAGATATTTTTAAAAATTATCTTCTTTATTTGCAACTTCGTAATTATTAAATTAACGAAAAAAATAATTTATACGGATTATAGGAAGAGATTTGCGCCTAAACTGTAAGTTCAACTACCCAAAGAGGAGCATGTTGAATAATATCGTTCATTTCATTTGAATAGTTTGATTTTCCAGATCTTTTTTGATATAATTATTTTATCATGATGGGCCCATCTTTGCCTAGAAATCCAATATAGATATGCGAGAATTAGGTGACAGAAGAAAATTTCAGATGTAACCCAAATCTGATATCATTAATTAGGCTAAATTTTTGCCATCGGGGACCAATGCCATCGGGGAAATCGAATCCAATGAGCCAAGTTTATAATAACCATACTTGTCAAGTATTGTCAGAAAGCAGAGCGTTCGAATATTTTTGATCGTACCCGGGGTTTCTGAACGAGTGTGAATTGGAACCTTTTAATAAGAAAATTGATGGTTACCTTAAATGAATTGATACTATTTTTGAGAATAAACAGGGTATAAAGAAGAGCTATCCTTGATAAATACAAAATGGCAAGTAAACTTTATTTAATGAATGAAGTGGAGAAGCTGTTAAACTTCACAATGCTATGTTGAAGTTCGACTATGATACTACCGTAGAAACTATTTCAACTCTTGCAGGAGTTCTCACAACATTTTCATTGGCGTGATACGAACCTACTTGGTTGCTTGTCATTCAAGGCTAATTGCTGAGCAACAAAACCAGTGTCAGGTAGGGTTGGAAAAGTTAGTCCTGATCTGGTCTTGGTATTAAGACTTAAAAGTCTTATCAAATGGACTTAAAGTATATAATAAGTTTAAGGACTTAAGTCTGACCGTAGGGTTAGGACGGTCCGGTCTGGTCCAAAAAGATCGGTCTTTCATCTTTCTTAGGACCGGACCGGTCCATAAGTCGATCCTAGGACCGGTCTATAAGTCAATCTTAGGATTTGATTTTTTTAAATGTGCGCATCGGAAATAAATTTCTTAATAAGTATTCTCTAAATTTTTACAAGATAATTAAAAAATTTTTTAGCAATTAATCATGTACTTTTTATGTTATATTGTTTGCAAAGCAGTCAAACATTATATCCCCATTGCAATTTTCTCTATTTCAGCAAGAATACGGTAGAGGTTCAAACAAAGAATTTAACAATAAGTTTGGCCATTTCTATTCCAACATTCACAAATGTAACAGTTATAACGGGAGAAATGACAAATATGCCCAATAATATTGCCAAAGATGTCCACACAATTATTGGAATGGCTGTATAAGCACGGACTTTATTATCATAAAATATCCCTAATCTTTCCATACTGGTTCCCAATACAACAATTTTAGCTATGTAGTAGACACTATTCAACAAGACAATAAAATACTTTGTAGATTCTTCGTTCTTGAAAAATAATCCATATATTAAAACGATAAGACCAGTGATAAGTGTGTATAAGACTAAGCCAATTAGTTCGGACCCGATTTCCTATTGGGTTTCGTAGGAAAGAAAATCCGACGAAAAAACTAATGTCAATATAAATTATAATGATCTTTGACAATATATATAAGTATTTTAAGTAAAAACATACTGATTTTTTCTTTCTTCAACAAGCACTTCTAAAAACCTAATTCTTTCAGCACGAGTGGCACACTCATTGTATATATCTCTCTGCCGCCTAGTTAGGCTTTCACAAGTTCTTTTTAGACGGAAAGGTATATTGTTACCGTTTCCTGAAATGAACAGTGTAAGTCACTAATAAACTTGAATAAATTGGGAAATTACAGTATTACATGCACAACAATCTTACCCTCGTTAGCATTGTTGCTCTCGTTGTTATCGTGGTTCCCGTTCACCATTTTTAAGAGTAAAAGAAAAGTAGTATAATTTATATTAGGTGTTTGACATTGCATTAATAACGTCATTTTGTGGAAATCACCTTGATGTTAATTGAATAGATCTTGGGTTGCACAATATTTTTTACGAACCGTTATCGTTTTTCTTTTTTACTGAAAATGTCAACCGCTATTGTGAGAAAAAATTCTTTTTAAAGATTTTTAAAAAAGCAAATTTTCCCAATTCTTTGAAAAAAATAACTTGGTTAATTACTCTCCCTATGGTTCAAAATTAAAGTTAAACTTTCCCGAACAAGCCGCCCAAATTTTATAAATTTTACTGTTCCAATTTGTTTGTACATTGATAGTGTATACATTATTTTTTTTTAAATTATTCTTTAAAGAGAAGATAATAAAAAAAATTAATAAAGAGTTTTCCTTAAAACTTTTCATTTACGTGTCAATAATTTTAAAAATCAGAGTTTGTAGCAGTAAATAATAACGCGTCAGTCAATGATTTATTTTTAGATATAATAACGCGTCTCTCAATAGTTTATTTTAGAAATCAGTAATCATGATGAGTTAAATAATAATGTGTCAGTCAATGATTTATTTTTAGATATAATAACGCGTCTCTCAATAGTTTATTTTAGAAATCAGTAATCATGATGAG